GCACACACCGGCGGAATACGGATCACACGGCGCAGTATACCCAGTCACTCGGTTCGACGGTTCGAGCACCTCTCTCTCTCTCTCTCTCTCTCCCTCTCTCTCTCCTCTATCTCCTCCTCCTTCCCCTTTCTCATTGCCTGTTTGTCTCTCACCCACCCATTCCGAGGTGCTCTGGCCCCCAGTGGGACATTCCGCAGGCCATTAACAATGCTATGTGACAGGACGGCTAATGTGACGGTAATTTGCAGGCTTACCTTAAACAAGACTGGCACGCTAATTGTCGTTAACCCATCACGAGGTATTTTGCCGGGGAGCCGGGAAACTACATCGGACAGTGGTGTGGGAGCCGGTAGGATTCCGACTGGGATGCGGGCGGGGCACCCCCCCCCCCCCTCCTATTCGCTATCAGAGAGGCACGCGTCTCGTGCTTGTAACGGGAGACGGCCGAGCAGCCGGTGTACCGCCCGGGACTGGCGACCGGACCATATGACTACCTCAGACCATATCTGCCTGCCTTTGGCCATCTGACTGGCTTAGGCTGGGGGGATCCGTGCTTTCGTAAGTTATATCGGATGTGGCTGCGAAACTTCTCTCGGTACGAAACTTCTCTTGATCGGAAGAAAATCGGAGGGATGAAAAAGAAAGAGCGGCCCATCGGAGCTACGTTGTACGTAAGTTGTTTCGTAGCGTTTAAATGCCAGTTTTACTACGATTTAAATGCCAAGCAGATCAGCTGACCTCGTAGTACCATGTCGATAAGGTCGAATTTCCCATACGTCTATAGTGTAAAAGTGACCCCTATTGCAAATGGGCTGTCAGGGACATCTCCTCCTCTGTAAATTTGGAGGGATCATGTGTCGGCATTCCCACGTTCGTTTCGGAGTCCATCTGTTCCATTTGGAGCCCGGCAGTTAGCGTCAAGAGTTGGCGCAGCGAGCGCCCTGAAGGCTTGTGTCTGCGTGCAAGGCTTCGCGATGGAAGAGTATTTTGAGGAAATCGCCATCGCTGCGGAAGAAATAGAGGAACGTGTTGAGGAAGAGGAGGTCACAGTGTGCCGACGACTTTAAACCGTACGCCAACGCCAAGACCAAGGCAATCAGGGGGCGCTCAGATGATCGGGAGGTTACAATTGATCAGGGACCCACCAGGTGACCAGGGAACCCTCTGATAACCAGGGGCCCTTCCAGTAACCAGGGACTTCTTCAATAACCAGGGGCCCCTCAGTAAACGGGGGCCACTCAGGTTACTGCAAGAGACAGGAGTCCCTTATAACCAGGGACCGGCAAGGTCTCTCAGGTCCGTTTTTGACAAGGCTGTTATTGACGTCATGTGCGAGCCCTTTGCCACCAGCAGAGGGCCCTTTCAAGCCTTTTTAGGGCCGTTTAACGTCTCTTGAGTTTCCTTTGAGGCTAAGGGCCTCTTCAGCAGCCGAGGGGTCTTTGAGGCCTTTTTGAGGGCCTCTTAACGTCAGCTGAGGACCGTTGGACGCCATCTGAGGACCGTTTGGGGCCTTCTGATGGCCAGTAGATGCCAACTGAGGGCTCTCTGACACCAGCTGAGGGCACCCTGACACCAACTGGGGGCCTCCTGACACCAGCTAAGGGCGCTTTTATATTTAACACGAGTTTAGGGCCCTTTGACGCCCTTTGAGACCTTCTGAGGTCCGTTTGACGCCAGCAGAGGAACCTTTGGGGTCATATGAGGGCCCTTTGCTGCCTTCTAAGCGGCCTTTGAGGCTTTTTGAGGGCCGCTTGACGCCACCTGAGGACCGTTGCGGTTGGACTCCAGTTACGGACCGTTTGAGGCCTTCTGATGGCCATTTCGCGCCAACTGAAGGTCCTCTGACACTAGCTGGGGGCCCTCTGACACCAGATAAGGGCCCTTTAAGGCCTTCTGAGGTCCGGTTAACGCTAGCGGAGGGCCTTTTGAGGTCAAATGAGGCCCTTTGAGACCTTATAAGGGCTTCTTGAGGCTTTTGAGGGCCGCGTGACGGCCTGAGGACCGTTGTACTCCAGCTGACGACCGTTTGAGGCCTTCAGATGGACTTTTGGCGCCAGCTGAGGAGGGCTCACTGACACCAGCTGAGGGCCCTCAGACACAAGCTAAGGACTCTTTAAGGCCTTCGGAGGGTCGTTTGACGCGAGCTCAGGGCCCTCTGACGCAGGTTTATGGCCCTTTGACGCCCTTTAAGGTCTTCTGAGGTAGGTTTAACGTTGGCTGAGAGCCCTTTGAACCCATCTGAGGGCCCTTTGAGGCCATCTTGTGGCCCTTCATTTGGCCATCTGAGGGCCCTTTGACACCAGATGAGGGCCATTTGACGCTAACCGAGGGCCCTTCGAGACCATCTGAGGACCCTGTGACCCTATATGTGGGCCCTTTGAGGTCTTTTGAGGGCCATTGAAATTTCACCACAATACCCCTGGCTGCGCTACTGGGCATTTGTGGACTCGTATGGGCCTGCTGGGGAACGAGATGGGCCCTCCCGGTCTTTTCAATCATTATTTCAGTTCATTTTACATGGTCTTCGGCGGCCTAAAGATTACGGGCCCCAACTCGAATGGGGGGGGGGGAGGCCCGTGTGCCCTCTCCTGTGTGCGGCCTTGCCGACACTACACCGCTTCCCCTCCCTCCGCCATAAACGCACCGCTGTTAGGCGCCGACAAATACGGACCGGCGCCGCCACCGGCTCCCCCGCGGCCTGCCTCGCGTTGACATAGCCCTTCCCGAACACCAGTGTAACCCCCACGCGGCCTAGGTATCGCCGCGCCCACCTGTCCGCGGCGCGGCCTCTGATGGCGTATCAGATCATTGATGGTGCGATACATGTTTTGGGTCAGATTTTCGCAATTAACGCGAAAAATTGCCCAAAACACTTTTTAAATTTCAAAATTGAAAAAAACTAATTTCAAAAATGACGTGAAAGTGACCGTTTTCAACGTGTAAATTTAAAACGCTCTAGCGCAGCCATTTTTGAAGAAATCGACTTCAAATTTTGCACACGTGTTCAACAACCATATTTGTTTAACATATATTTCGGTTTTGTGAAAATTTTGAAAATTTCTTATATTTTTCTCTTCAGAAAGAGGTAAAACTTCGCTACGATCGGCCTTCCGATCGACCGAGAAGATTCGTAAAGTTAATTCGTATCTTCACCATTTGCGATACAACTTGCGTAACTACTTAGCCTCCGATTCGATGGATCCCTCCAATATCTGCTCCGATACAACTTACGTTTGATCGCAACTGCGATGTGCCTTGCGATCACATGGATCCCCCCAGCCTTAGACAGTTTGGTAGTCTGGTCCAGTCTGCACTATGTCGGTGCTGGTTGAAGATCGGGCGGGTGAAGCAGTTCCCGTATAATTCCTGCTATGGGTGTATGCATAAAATGTTGCACTTTTTGTTGCACACAAAAAAAAACTTTTAATTCGTAATACCTATCGACCATTCCTAAGCTAACTTCAGAACGGAATTCTCACCGTTACCCGAATATCGGCAAGTTCTCAATTTTGAATTTTATCAAGCATATACCTACCATGATATGTTTCGTTTCATTCTATCCATTTCCGTATTCCATTACAAATTTTGCCGCAAAATGTGAAACAAATAAATACCTAATGTTATATACCCAGTTCATAACTGTTCGGTGCGTTAACCTGTCATCCACGAATTTTGACTTGTTAAATAGCTAAATGCTTATCAACTGATTGTTTTGAATGGCCTCCGAACAAAATTAATTACATTCATGTCTTTTTGGTATCATGGCCCGTGGCTGAAAATTCATCTATAAAACAAAAATAAATGAATGTCAAAATTTAGTTTGTGGCAAAATTTACAATAGCTTCCGGAGATGAGCCGGCATTCTACGCGTCACCGAACCCGTCAGCCATCCGGTCCCGTTGGATTCGAACAGCTCGTCTTCTTCCACAGCTGCACGAGGCAGAGCGGGCCGACCTGACCGACCCACCGCAGCGCCGCAGCCGTGCAGCGGGCACTAATGTAGCCATAGCCAATCGCGGCCGCCATTCACTATAACAAGGTACCGCCGTCAGGAAAATTAAATCGGCTGCAGAGTGGGTGTGCAAAAGCCCGTGCATTCCTGCCGACAAACTAAGTGAAATAAACGGCCAAAACACCACTTTAACTGTCAGACCTCGACAGTTAAAAACTCTTAAAATGTCCTGTAAACTCAATGGCTCGTTGTCTGCCGGCAAACGAGGCCGTAAAAACTGGTTGTGCATCAGAATCAAAGCGGTATGATTAGGAGTGATTACAGCGTGCGGCCATTATCAGTGCGGTGCCGGCCGGCCATTTGGCGGCGGTGGCGGCGGCGGGGGGCGCCCATGGCACGCCTGCCGCGCCGCCCCACGGCCCTACCTCATTATCCGCGGCCGGGCAGCTAACAAATGATCCGGCCCCCGAGCTGTAATTGATTAGGGTCCGGCGGCGGCGGCCGGGTGGCGTGCCTGCACCGCTGCCCGGCCAATTTAAATCAATCAGCGCCGCGGTAATCACTGCGGGCGCCGGCCGGCCGCGCGGCGGAGGGCCGCGCGCGCGGCAGCGGACCGGCCGTGTTTGAACAGTGTTTGTTTCGACAGGGACTGTGTTTGAACAGTGTTTGTTTCAACACGCGGCGCTGTGAGAGGCCACTTATCCGCGGGCCGCTGTGATAATGTGACTTGCTGATATGACAGCAGGTAAAGCGAAAGGTACACTTACGCCACTTCTGTGCGCGCGCGCGGCATACAAATGACAGACGAACTGACTGGCAGGTGAAGGGACCTACATTTGCTCTTCAACTGCGGCCCTGAGTTCTCTGTTTTCACGTCCCATAACTGACAGACTTGGCTGACGATAAGCCAGGTAATGGTGCTTTTTCGTCATCTGAATCATCACGTCAACTTCTGAGTTCTGACAGCAGGCCGACAGACCCCCCTGACCACTAGGTAAAGGACCACCCGCCCCACCTCTATCCCAAGCTCACACGACTGACGACTCACCTGATTTGACCGAGCAGTGGATGTGGAAGCGCGACTCGTAGTAGACCCAGTCGAAGCCGGCCTCCACGGCCAGCCGGGCCAGCATGCCGTACTTGCTGCGGTCGCGGTCGGACGTGGTGATGTCGACGGCGCGGCCCTCGTAGTGCAGTGAGTTGGGCGCGTGCAGACGACTGTCATCCCACGCCTCGGTGACCCGCAGCCGCACACCGGGCCACTGGTTCATGACAGCTATCGCCAGCGTGTCCAGCTTGGCTTTCATGCGCTGCGGGCGGAGGGAGAGGGCTGTCAGGTACTGTACTGGGGTGGGAGAGAGAGAGAGAGAGAGAGAGAGAGAGAGAGAGAGAGAGAGAGAGAGAGAGAGAGAGAGAGAGAGAGAGAGAGAGAGAGAGAGAGAGAGAGAGAGAGAGAGAGAGAGAGAGAGAGAGAGAGAGACGTTTCTGTGAGCGCTCGGTCCGCTGCTGGGATTTGCTATTAGCTGGGATACAATGTATGAGCGCCACATCGTAATCGAATCATTCCGTAACAATTTAAAGATTGATAAATAACACTTTCTTATGAGATTATTGGCTTCGCTGCCCTACCGCCCGAGGAATCGGAAACACAAATTGGCCTTCAGTGATTATCTGTTTTACTGGGTATAGGGGAGAGTGGGGTAAGATGCCCAGGGTGGGAAAGACGCCCCGCCCCCTCTAGCGGCGAAACAAAGAATCAGACCTGGAAATTAATGTTCTTAGCGTAAAGCGGAAGCCTGCCTTGTTAACTGCACAAAAAATTGCGAAGCTCAGTTGGGCAATGGCTGGCTTATGATTGCATGTTTTTTATTTGCTGCTTTCAAAAAATATTTTGGTGTCAGAACATTGTAAATATCAAAGAAGGTAAATAATTTTTGCGTCCCTTGCTTTAGTCGTGATACATTAGCATGCGTGTACTGTGTCCCAAACAGTTTGTTTCAGGGTGTAGTTTTATGGCTAACAAATTGTACTGATTTAATGTTAATTCGGTACCTTGGGGTAAGATGCCCCCTGTCCTGATGGGGAAAGACGCCCCCCTAAATCCGTAGGCTATCCTTCAAACAGTCCGTCAAATCATTTATTACATACTTGTGATGTAGACAAAAGCCGATCTGGGACTATTGAGAGTCCAGTACGGTCGGGTGCTCCCCATGCCGGTCTCTCGGCCCACATAGCGACTTTTTGGGCGGCATCTGACTCTGAGAGCCCTCACGACGGCCTCTGTGGGCCCCATTATTGGCTCCAGGGCCCCTCACGACATCCTTTGAGGGCTCCCACGTTGGCCCCACGGGCCGCACTGGCATCGGAGGTCCCCACGATGGGCTCGAGGGCCCTCAAGCATCATGAAGACCTATAAGAGCCCCACAGTGGTCTCCGAACGCCACCACGGAGGCTTGTTTGGCCGCGCTGGACTATGATGGCCCTAACGATGACCTCTGAAGCCCTTACGACTACTTTTGAGGGCCCTTATGATGACGTTTGGTGTCTACTGCAGGCTCGAAGGGACTACTGATTCGTTCAGGCGATTCACGTGCCCATTTATGTCACTTATAGTGCAGGGGGCATCTTTCCCAACGTCAGGGGGCGTCTTTCCCATCCTGTGGGGTAAGATGCCCCCTTTCACTTCTTCAGGAAAATGCTTAATAGCAAAAAAAGTTATGATATTTCAGGCACGAAAGTGTGATATTTTTGGAGAAAAATGATGTCGGCTTCCGTTGAAACTCCAAGTTTTTGCTTTCCCATCGTCATTTTCGAATAATATATGACATAGCAAAACCCTGGGCATCTTTCCCCACTCTCCCCTACGTCAGTAGGTATCGTATGACTAATCTAATTGCTATCTAAATCGAGATACTGTCGGTCGCACATCAGACGAACCAGAACGTGCTTAAAACAAAAAATTGTGTAATAATTTTAGCTCGATACTTTTTGCTTCTTTCGTGTTTTAAGTTGAATTGAATTGAACAGGTTGTTGTCAGAATTACCTATTCCAGATTAACCTCATGGGATTACGAAACCACGAAAACATGGATACCACACCTACTAGACCAATCACCTGCTTATTTCACACGACGATCATAATGTAATGGGGATGAAATTGTTGGTTTTCCTAACACCCTTTGTCACGTCGGTTAATAATTGAACGTAACTACCACCTTAATAAAGCACCACCGTCATGCCTCGTGACTAATGCCCTTGTTATATTCGCGAGGTAATTTGCATTATGAAGCACGGCAATTGCCATAGAATTAGCACGTAGGCCCTTGCAGAGCAGAGACAATGGCCACTAAATTACTGGGCGCCATGGGTAGCAAGGCCACTCGGATCGCTGGCGACGGCTAACTGGATGCCACCCGGCACATACGAATGGCTGGCACGGAGACGAGACGAGAGGCTGCACTGTGCACAGCAAGGAGAGGACGTATGGGACACGCGAGGAAAAGATGAGTGGATCACAGCGGATGAGCAGGGCTTCCGGGTGCAGGTATGTTGGGACGGACGGATAAATCGGTGCAGGTGACGTATGTAGGTATAACCACGGTGGGACGGCCGGGTGAAGGTATGTTGGGACGGACGGATAAATCGGTGCAGGTGACGTATGTAGGTATAACCACGGTGGGACGGCCGGGTGAAGGTATGTTGGGACGGACGGATAAATCGGTGCAGGTGACGTATGTATAACCACGGTGGGACGGCCGGGTGCAGGTATGTTGGGACGGACGGATAAATCGGTGCAGGTGACGTATGTATAACCACGGTGGGACGGCCGGGTGCAGGTATGTTGGGACGGACGGATAAATCGGTGCAGGTGACGTATGTAGGTATAACCACGGTGGGACGGCCGGGTGAAGGTATGTTGGGACGGACGGATAAATCGGTGCAGGTGACGTATGTATAACCACGGTGGGACGGCCGGGTGAAGGTATGTTGGGACGGACGGATAAATCGGTGCAGGTGACGTATGTATAACCACGGTGGGACGGCCGGGTGCAGGTATGTTGGGACGGACGGATAAATCGGTGCAGGTGGCGTATGTATAACCACGGTGGGACGGCCGGGTGAAGGTATGTTGGGACGGACGGATAAATTGGTGCAGGTGACGTATGTATAACCACGGTGGGACGGCCGGGTGCAGGTATGTTGGGACGGACGGATAAATCGGTGCAGGTGGCGTATGTATAACCACGGTGGGACGGCCGGGTGAAGGTATGTTGGGACGGACGGATAAATCGGTGCAGGTGACGTATGTATAACCACGGTGGGACGGCCGGGTGCAGGTATGTTGGGACGGACGGATAAATCGGTGCAGGTGGCGTATGTATAACCACGGTGGGACGGCCGGGTGCAGGTATGTTGGGACGGACGGATAAATTGGTGCAGGTGACGTATGTATAAGTGTAGGAGGGCTCCTTCTCCTGTGGCGCCGCCTATTGCTCGGGCGGCTATATGTTGGCAATGAATGAACTGCCGCCAATGAATGGACTGCCGCTCCGAGACCGACTGAGTCAGAGTCGGAAGTGGAACTCTGCCGCTGCGAGCGCCCGCGGCTACAGCTCACACGCCGTGGGCTATTTGCCATGCTCTGCGGCGACGGCTGTGGCAGTGATGGCGGCTGCTGATTGGCTGGCGCTGCGACGCCAGGGCAGCCGCCGATTGGGTTTTCTCCTGGAACCTTCTCGGACGAAAGGTCGTCTGAAGGTCATTGTCATTGACGGGGGGATTCGGTCTGGAGCGGGGGGCTACGCTTGGAATTGGAACTGGAACTGAACTTTGACTTTGGTTTCGAACTGGTCTTGCTTGCCAATACAATGTGACTAATGTTTTGCATAGAGTCTATCACGGCCATGTCTACATTTGGTGGCAGCGGTTAACGAGCTTCGCTCTTTCGTAACAAGTCTTAATTATGACTTGAAGAGTCGTACTTACCAAGAGTCAAGAACGAACTGAGGATGAAGACGTTCTCGACTGGTCCGCTCGGCGCTCGGCCTTGGGCCTGGCCTACTTCGCGAGTGCATCCGGTGAACTCGGAAGTGTGAGTTTTCGTGTCTGGTCCCGCCTCGGCCATGATTTTGTGCCTGACTCGAGACTGTCAGTGACTTGTGCCGCCCAGAACTATGGTGAAGCAGTGCAGTCTGGTGTCTCAGTGTGCAGCCTCTGCCGCTGTTTGTTGGAGCGGCTTGTCGGTGAGCTCCGCTGGCTCGACGAGAGGTGAGCGGCCGTTCCGTTAGCCATGCGCTGGCTCAACGAGTTGAACTGTTGAAGTGAGTGGCCAGCTGGCCCTCTTCAGTCTTCGGTGTTAGCGGGCAGTGGCTGGCTTGATCTGTTGCCGCCACCTGCTGTCGCAGACGCTGCAGATTCAAGATTTCAAGCTCTTCGTTCGTCGCCGCTGTCAGTCGTGGCGACCCGTGGCGACTGAAGTGACCGTTTGAAGTTCGGTCGTCGCCGCCGTCCATCGTAGCGGTCCTTGTGTTTGCGATGATCGCCTCCGAGTGCGTCCGCCGTCGCCGTCGCTCGTGGCGACCGCTGTCACATTCTTCTTCGTCGCCTTCAAGTTGCAGCCGCCGCTCCTCGGCCGCCGGCTTCGGCCCAGAGCTGCTGTGACGTCAGCAGTCACGTGACGCTGCTCGTCGCTCGGCCGGCTGTGCGTCAGCTGGCCGCCGAGGCCGCCGGTTCCTGCGGCTCCTGACGGCCTGGCGGGCCGATGGATGGGCCGACGGCGAGGATCTCCATCGACAGACGGCGACAATAAGATAAGTGGACCGATTGTTGGTGTTATGAGTGTATTGTGTAGTGTATGTATTTTGTTTGTGATGTGTAAATAGGTGTGTCATTTTGGCAAAATGAATCCCAGGGACGGGGAGCAGAGTGGGTCTGGGGACGTGCGCCGCGGGGCGATCGGTGGGTTTTCGTTTGAGGCGCCAAAGTTCGCCGGGGAGAATGGCTCAGCCTGTGACAGATTTTTGGCGGATCTGGACACTTTCTACACTTTTCACAATTTGGATGATGAGTTCAAGCTGCGCTTCCTGCCGCTGTGCTTGACCGGGTTCGCACGGGATGCTTTTGAGGCCCTCCCACGGGAGGAGAGGGACACGTTCAGCCGGGCTGCTAGTGCTCTCCGCCACTTGTTCATCAAACCGTGCGCTCTGGATGCTCATAGTCAGCTTCAGCAGTTAAAGTTTGACCCGTCGACCTCTCTTGACGCGTTTGTCATCCGACTGCGTGCGCTAGTGGCTGAAGCGTTCCCAGGGAG